TTTTGTAGTGTACTATCAAGAATGCTAAGAGCATTTATATTTATGAGTGTTGTTAGAATCAAAATACTGTGCGAACAGTGGAACACTTTCCTTACAATTGGTGTGATGTATTTTTAATGTGTGTCCAAGCTTTAATTTTGCCAGAGTTTGGAATGAGGGATTTGGCCCTCACTGTGTGACTATTAAAAGCACTGTACAATAATAGTGTGTTATAATTTTAAAATTCAATATACTACTGGAATTCCTAAATATATAGTGGAACCTAATTGTACTGAATTCCTAAATAATTTATCTCCATTTGCAGAGTAGGTTAAAAGTCCTAAATACTTTCAGTATACAGTGCAAATGAAAATTAAACTTCTAGTTGTGGTGAAGCTCTACCTAGAGTGAAATTCTTCTGTTAAAACAAAGATAAATCAAAATGGGATCTAATGTGCCGCAGATAATAAATATCATGAGCACGAGAACTATCTTATTCAAACAGAATCTGATTCTGCTCTCATTGAAATCTTCCAGTGGCTCGCATGGGAACAGGATCAGCTCCATGCACAGCACACACCAAAAATAAATATTCAAATCATTATACAAGTATTTAGTATATGTGATTTCTCATAATATAGAGCACCAGTTTCACAAACAGTTCCCAATAATAGCAAAAGGGAAATAGTAATTGTATTTAGAAAAGACATATGTTATTCCTTGGCAAAAATTAAACTGGCGTGGAAATCTGGTCAATTTTCAACTAGTATGGCTGATCCCAGAATTATACTGCAAACAACCTGAGCAACTCATTTAGTTAGCTGACACTTTTTATTTAACACAGATTTAAAGACCCCTTTTGTAGATAGATAGATAGATAGATAGATAGATAGATAGATAGATAGATAGATAGATAGATAGATTTAAAAACATTACAAAAAATTAACCTATTTAATCAGACTGTAAATAATTTTATATAAGTAAAAAAAAACACAAAAAATAGACAAAAATATTGTCTCTCTGCAGTTATTTATACTGAGTCTGTAATTTGCTGTTCATTTAGGGCTTGATTCAACTCCCAGTGAAGCCAGCAGAAGTCTCTCCATTGATTTCAATGGGAGTTGGACCAAGCTCTTATTTCAGGAGTTCATGCATTTTACCAGCTTAGTATAGTTAAATGCATTGCAAACCTTTTTTCCATTGCTGCTCAGGAAGACATTCAACAATTTGCTATCTGACAAGAATAATTATGTGAGAAATCACAAACCATATTACATAAAGATTAAATATACCCTTGTGGCTACCACAAATATTAAACAGAAATGCAGTCCAACTCTGGAAAGACAGATTGTTTTTTAGTTTCAAAATTTAAACTAAGCATTACAAGCCCAATTAGTTGGATCGGTTCAAGTGTATAATATCGGTGATATTCAGCATAGAAGAAATTTTACAAGCAAACTGTTGTGAATAAAAATAAATAACCAAGTCCATACTTTTTTTATGACTGCCAGTAAAATCATTGTAAGTATATAACAGTACTTTAATCACACAAGGTGATTCTTTTTGTTTAAATTCAGACACTATAATGATATATGTAAAAGTCTGTATTGTAACTCTCTGTGCTAACCCCCAGGCTTTAGTTTTCCACAAAATGTAAATTCAAGACACAATTTAGCATGATTAATTAAATAAGCATTATGTAGATACAAATGTATGGTGTACATAATATATATATATATTACTTATAAATTGCTGGTATAACATTTTGTATGTGATGCCTATATCAGATTAGCACAGCAAAGTTGGTGTAAACATATGAAGCCTTCTATCATGTAGTGTATGATTGGTTTTAGCATATTTATAAATTATAATTATTTAAAATAATAAATGGAACAACATGAGCTCTGTTAACACCATTCGTAAAAGTTCAATATACCCCACCCTTCCTTACAGAGTGTCATCATGTCTGATACTTGTATAAACTTAGGCCATTCAAATGTCAAATCAAAATGGTATTTTAAAGCAGATTATGTTTTTGTTATTCAGAAACAACATCTGTGTCCAGACACATTTATACTTCACTGTTTTGGAAATATTAATTCTTAGTGAAGTGTATTTGTAATATATGACCGATTTGAGATTACCACCGGACTCCATAATCTTGAGGGTGCTCAGTCACCAAAGTCATTCCATTTGCTGTTGTGAGCAGTAAATGTCCACAAAATTACTTGAAATAAGATTAAGGAGGAGATATACCAGAATGTTTATGTTTTTTCTCAAAATAGAAGTGAGTATCCATATGCTTCCACTGTTGTTGGAAATATGGGCCTTACACCATCATGGTTTAAATTTTCTGACTGGCCATTAAACCTCTCTACAACAGTATCAGCATCATTCATTTGCCCAAGAATAGATAGATGTGAATACATGTTGACTTCTTTAAGAAATTTATGAGTAAAATGAACTATTCCCAAAGTTCCTGCACCCTTGTCTTGCATTTAGGCAACGACTTTTCAAGGCATAGCCCACCACTGAACAGAGGGGGGAAGGGGAAGCTAACAACAAGGGATGGTTTTTCATTTCTGCTGGTTTTATTTTGGAAATATTCAGTGAAAAGCAGCCAGTTACCCTGCAAATTGACAAACAGATGATTTAAATTGCCAACTGGAATCTTATTTGTGAAATACATGTAAATAAGGAAAGGGATGTGTAAGTTTGCCAATATTTTGCTAATATGCATATTTTTCATAGTAAATATTATTCAAGAACAATAATTTACTGACAATGTTATTGTTTAAAATCAAATTTTGCTACTACTCCAAGTGGAATAACTATATTTAAATAAGAGGTCAAATTCTGTTCCCATTTAACTCAGTGACAAAACTCATTGGCTTCAGCAGAGACAGACTCTAGCCTATACATTATGGACTGAGGTGACTGATTAGAAATGTGGAAACTGTTACAGTCTTTAGACCCAAACCTGGGTTTAACAGAAGTTTTGCCTGAGTGAGGAATGAAGAATTGGAGGATTTATCTTCTTGCTCTGAGCACCTTCCCTCCATACTGTAAAGAGGGAGGCTTGCTTAAATTTATTTAACCGAAGTATTGGATGGCACATGAAACTTGGCACTTTTAAAAATGCAACACTGCCTATGAACTGGGCAGCACATGCATAACAAATGGTTTAATAAAAAAATAAAGTGTTGTTTTCCCTTTCTTCTGACAGCAAATTAAAAAAAATAACCCGTCTCAAAAGTTGTCCGTGCGTTGTCATCTGAGTAAAATCCTGCGCAAGTTAACAAGATAAACTTTGACAAGCTAATAAAGCAGTGTGGAGTTTCGTTCTCCTTTTAACCTAGGACTTTAACTAGGCAAGGCTGTAATGTACGCTTCTCCCTCCCCCCGCACCTCAAGACAACTGGGAAACATAGATTACTATAGCATGTCAAAGATTTTCAGTTAAAATCATTTAGGTAACATTAATGTTCCTATCTATACAAACAATGCATGTATGTTTGTCCGTATAAAATATTTATTAATATATAGATTGACACCCCCAAAAAATATCCAGGCGCAGCATGCGTTTTAAATAGTGCTTGGAATATTTTCTCCTGCTTTTCTTATGGCTCTTCTATTAAAAGAGTTGAACATTTTGCAATTAGGGAAATGGTAAAATAGGAAGAAACCATATCAAAAGTACACAGCTGGATTTTGCTTGGCTAAAGTAAAAGAACTTCACTCCCCTCTTGCGCTTATGTTAAACCATGTGCAAATCCCAGCTGTATTTTTAAAAGTGTAACCCTGTGTTTTCTTCAGTGGACGGTTTTGAAGCTTTGCATTTGATGCACAGAGTGAGTAACACTTCCAGCATTGCTAGAGAGTAAAATAAGTAAATAAATAAATAAATACAAATAACACTACTTGTTAGCGTAACTGGGACACTAGTTTCACACACTTGTTCGGTGTGAGGGCTTCTAAGAACGGAATTCATTAGAATGCGACTATTGCCCATATTTATAACCAGCGCGGAGCGACAACGTGAAAGCTTTCGAGAATCGTAGAATGCCATGAACTTGAAGGTGCTAAACAACTACGAGGATCGAAGAACCAGAGATCGGCTTCTCCATTGTGATTCAGCCCTCTTCCCTGCTGCTGCTTTTCTCGCCTGAACTTGGTTAAACTTTCTAACCTACGGGCATAACTGGTTTTCTGTCAGGAGAACCGTGACGCTGGGTATCAGTTTACCCAGATAACTATAGGATCTAATTTATCCAATCCTCATTTACAAACCGTTTCCTACTAAGGTATGTCAGCCAAAGGTCAGCTATCCTCAGCAATTAATATTATATTTCTTAATTGAGAAAGAGAGAGAGAGAGAGCTAGAGAGAGAGATTCAACCCCAATCTTATCTGAATAATCGTGAATTTTATTCTGAGTTGTATGCTGTACTTTTAAAAATAATTGACGAGTGAATGTATAGGGGGCCTTTTTACTCTATTTGAATCATTTTGAAGTACAGATTTTTAAAAAATGCTGGGGGGAGTCGTCCAAAACTGGCTTTGATTGCTCGGATACCTGGACAACTTTACACAGGGGCACCAGGGTGTGTGGAACACTTAAGACCTTTCACTGAACCCAAATCAATCCTGCATCATAATTGGATGGTCAAAAGTCCCCGTGTGGCGGCTGCGTACTTTGTGTCGCTTGGTATGGTCTGAGGTGGCAGGAAAACTCAAAGATCAGACTCCAGACACAGCCTCGCTCTCCCCAGCACAAAAAGTTGCGCTGCAGCCTTGCAGGGAATTGTACTAGTGCCCTGGCTCCTGCCCGAGCCAGCGGTGATTATTTGGTCTGTTTGCTCCCAGGCAGCGTTAATACACCAGAGTTTTACTCGGTGCTGCTTGACGTGCAGCCACTGGGGTAGGGCGGTTCTGCTCCAGACAAACAAAACGTCCACACGCACCCACACGGCGCAGCAAGCCGAGCCGGGCGGCTTTGCAATGGAGAAAAGCATCACTTACCCGGGCTGGGGTCTAGCGCTCGGCAAACGCTGCCAGGAGGGCTGAGAAGTGAAAAACTGAAAGGAAACGCAAAAGCTTGAAAGTTGGACCAGGGGATTTCGGTCGGGAGGGGGGTGGGGTAGAGTCAGAGAGAAGCGGGAGCACAGCGCTCCTTGCTCTCCTTGGCCGCCACCAACACAAAGATCCGGGAGCCGGGCTCTGCCAGATCTACACAGACACACGCAACGGAGGGCCAAGCCTCGGCGGCTTGCTCGCTCCAGCGAGCGGAAAGCCCGCCGGGGGGCCGGGCTCCTGCCTGCCAATGCTATTTTGTAAACAAACCCGGCCCGAAGGTAACGCTTCAGGCGCCTCGCAAATAGCGAAGAGGTGACTGGATTCAAGTGGAAGGTAGCATGCAAAATGATAGCCACTAATGACAACAACATCGCTGCTCCCTCCTCCTGCCCTAAAATCGGGCGAAGAGTTTACTCTTCCCGACTTAGAAAGTCTGTTTCTGAAAAAATGTGACTCTTGGAGCCCAGGCGGAGTCTGGGATGCACAGGAAACACGGAGTCTAAATCAACTCGGGATGTGAGTGAAGAAAGGAATAAGTTTGCAATAGGCTTATTCCACAAAGCATGTGGACCCACGAACTCAACAGTTTTCTAGGGAGTTCAGTGAACCCGAAGGGTTTTTCTGGACATTTAACAATCATGTGACTCAGGTGTGGGGGTCTTTATACGTGTATTTCAGTCTCCTCTGAGACGTCATTACATACCCTTCAGTCCACTAAATATACCAGAGGCAGCTAGGTTTGGCTTCAAGAAGCGTGCTTTGAAAAAATGATCTCCGAGCTAAATTCTGGAGCAATCAGTACTATTGCATGGGTGTAATCTGAGGACCGGATTTGGCCCTTAATGTGTATTAAAATGAATGCAATCAAATATGTTCTTCCGCCTTACTGAACATCTTGAAACTGCCTGGTCTGAACGTCTGAGCTCCAGAATATACCTTAGAATATGTGGGCATGAGGAGGGGGGAAGGAACAGGGGGAGTCAGAGAGAGTCTTCAGACAGTGAATCGTCACGGGATCATTTCAACACAATCTTGCTCCACCCATAATAGCCATTTTGCTAACTTTGAGATACAATGCCACTAGCCGAATTTGCCTCGTCGCACCAACTTGAAGACTGAACGCAGAGAACAGTCATTTGATGAGAAATCTATGTAAAGGCACAGGTGTACCTGGTAGCTCTAATGTACGATATTTATGGGCTCTTTCCTATTAGGAATCATTTTTACAGACATAGGGCATACAGAAAAATCTCATTAGTATTGTTTAGCTAGCACATTTGTGTTCACCGATTTGAAACTGCTAACATACAGAAGGCTTACGATCACTTTGTGTATATGAACAATGTAAGCTGCGAATTGTTATAATTTAAAAACACTTACTAATGGAATAAACAGGAAGGCTGTTTAGTTTGTGTTTATTCCTGTAATATATAAAGTAATGTCGACATATCGGCAATAAAATCTGATGGGTCGTACAGAATAATGAGATTTTACTAACAGAAAGTCAGGAATCAGGAATCAGTACAATAACGGTCTTTTCTTCACAAGAGACTATACATCTAGTAGATCTGCCAGTTGCATTTTACCAGCTAGTACCATGAGAAGCTATCATCTGATCTGGAAATTGTTGTTATGGAAGGACCCGGTGATTTGCTAAATCAAATATGTTTGAATCAAATATGCTAAATCAAATATGTTGTATTAGTCCAGCATGCCTTAATGGGGAGAAGAGACTATCCTCGTGAGCAGACAGACAGATGCAAGAAGCAGAAAGGTGGAGTCATTAAGCAAAAGAAAAGGAAATAAAATGCCATTAAACAGTTTTCAAAGGGATAAAGTTTCATGTAGTGAAAAAACGAATTCCTTTAAACTATGGAAAAATGTGAATGAGAGTTTCAATTCGAGTTGTGATTTAAAAATAATACTCAGGATGCTCGATAGAAAAT